CCATCCACCATCCACCATCCACCATCCACCATCCACCATCCACCATCCACCATCCGCAAATTTTCTTACGCTTGCACGACGGTTGTATTCCTGACCACTTTCCATTTGGGAGACATCGTCTTCTAGAGGAACCAATCACGTGGCAACCATGCATACATTGGAATGTACAGACGCTTCCAAGGTTATTCGCTAGACTACAATTCATCGTAGAGTTGACGGGTCCAGATATAGGATTACATACGTTCGCTATAGAAATGAAATCACAAGCGCCAAAGACAGAGCATGAGCACTTGGCATGTCTAGAGAACTGCCAGTCTATATAAAGTTCATTAGAATATACAACTATTTCAAAAAAGGTTGGGAAAGGTCTTACTGCCTTATGCATGTTGGGTATTGCATATTGCATGTGCACGTTGCATGTTGTTTACCAAAATTAAATGTATAATATTTATATGAAAATAATGAGAACACATAAGTAATAAATATACCACAAACACGTGCAGAGTGAATAAGTTTGGTAAAATTCCATATCGTTGTGACCTTTCAGTTATTGGATTCACATCGCCCAATGTGCATTTCTGGCTTGCAACGTGCAACGTTCACCGTGCAACGTTCACCGTGCAACGTGCAACGTGCAACGCCTCCACGGTAGATCCTCAGTTAATTCCTAATACCTTTGACTTTTAAGTTATTTTTTACCTTCAGCATGTATATGATAGAATACCCAGGAATAATAGAAATTACTCACCATAATTATTGAGGAAAATAAAGTCATCCAAAGCAATAATTCCTGAATGATAATCTGGGATTGACCCCTCCACACACACCTTAGTAAGAAAAATACCATTGGCATATAAACCAAATTGAAAAACTAACTAATGCAGCATTTTCCCATTTCAGACCACGTGTCATTTTCGAATTCGATTCTTGAAAATAGGATTCCTTATTTGAGTTGTATCCATACTCAAGTGTCTTCTAATGAGTAACAGTTAAACAAAGAAATTATACAGCTCTAGGGAATGACCCTTGATCTGTAATGAGGCATGGGATGAAATGGATGCTTTATTTCTTAGCTTGCTTTACTCACTTGCTGTTGGGTTGAGTTGATTGGAATAGTGACATATTTCCATTCGCAAATACTGTCATCGGCAATGCTACTCTCCAAGCTAATAACTTTTCGTTTTCCTATCATAAGGTCTAGCTGCGAAAATCCTGACTGGCAATAAGAGAAGGACAAAAATCCAGATCCAGTAAAATTTGGGAAAACTAGTTTTGCACTCGATAGATACGCTACATTTTCTTCTTGCATCGTGAAAATGAACGAGCTATCTGAAATTAAGAAAACACCGCGAATTTTTAAAATATACTAAATATTTCTTCGAATTCATGAAATTGCAATAATATTTGCTTTTCTTTCGAACTATTGACTCGCATAAACAGTATCAGCTTGCCAGCATATGGCTAATTTCAAGGTAATTTTATGTGTGATGAACTTTATATAGCTTAAATAGCGACTTAAGGTTTTAAAAAAAGCTTTTTCAAAACGGAAATATAAGGATTTTTGTAAATTATTGCAAGTGGGGTATACCTTTTAAACTAGATTTTCAGTAGTCATGTCTTATAATCACTGGTCCCTCGACCAATCACAGCACGCGAAACTCTTTGTTCGAGTATAAAATTATACTAACATTCAATAGTGCCATTCACAGTTCCCTGCGCCATTTTGAAAGTTAACCGTGTATGGGAACTGTGAAGGGGAATATTGAATGATATTTCGAATTATGTGTCAAATTGGAACCGAAAAAAACGTTACGTTACAACTTTAAAGAACACTTTATATGAAAAAAAACAACAAACTTATCATCGCTAATCATCACCGCAAAGCACAGGAGTGTGGCGCAGCTCAACAGGGTCGATCTGAAAGAATGTAGTACATACGTATTCCGTCGTTAAGCAGCCATGTTCGAGTAGAGTTCTCTGGGTTTTTCCATCCACAAAGTCCTCCATCAAAAGAGCAGGACAATGATAACACACCTATAAATAAACAAACATTTAGATTCATAAAGTATGAGCTATTGATGGTTTTCAACCATTCCCAAGAGAATCAAATAACAAAAGACACGGCGGCCATGTTGGAGGACATAACACAAAAGAATTCATTGACAATTCTTTTGTTAAATTCCTCCAACATGGCCGCTGTGAAAACCATCAATACACAAGATCGAAACCTATTTGAATAACCATTGTTCTGGACTGACTAGCCTCTCACACGTTTTTAACATTTCCCTTTAAATAACTTCAAAGCCAAAATTCTGACAATTAGAAACTGATGCATAGATTCATTAATTCCAAAATGAGTCTGAACACAAACTACCAATATGAAACGAATTTGTAACACAAGGATACAACACAACCTTCTTTGGCTTTAACCATTACTTTCTCTTGCTATTATTTCCATGCAAAATATTCAAGCCATATGTTGTGAATTTGGAGTGACAAAGACATGCACACCTATCCACAGCTTTAAATAATTTCCAATCAGTGTTTATAACTTTAGCATTTGAAAAAAAATCTATAAACAAGAAAAAAATGTTTTAACATTTTAAAATGTACAGTGTTTCAAAAAATAAAACATCATCTTGATAGTAATGCCTATTATAGGCAATGGACATTTGAATATTCAGCCTAAAGTGATACCATCATTATGCAAAAACATATTCGCGTTTGTTTACCTTTCGCATAGCAAACGAAGATAAAATACGTCGTCGCCAACTTGAGTAGAAAGGTTTTAAACTTCTCCATATCAAAGAGCAACTTTCAGCTATCCCTGAACACTGTTTGTGGACTTGCTTACTAAACAAATTATACATCCGTGGTGTCAATATGGAACCATCTGAGGGATAAATGTAGCTATAGTAATTGCTGGTTTTCAATCATTCCCAAAAGAATGAAATTACAAAAGACACGGTAACCCTGGTGGATGATATAACAAAAGATGCCAATGAAAAATCTTTTTGTTAAATTAATTCTGTGTTTTCACGTGAACACGAGGATAGTCAGTGCAGAACAATAGTGATTCAAATTGGTCGCCATGTTTCGATTCGGTGTATTGAGGTAATCAAAAATAATCTCCGAAAAACTAGTAATTTTACTATTTATTAAACAGAGTTTTCGTCAAAACAATACTAAACCCATATAACTGTCATAGTTAATGGAGCGCTCCATTGAGTATGTTTCTATTTGATTTTTTATATACAGCTATTTCAAAAAGGTTGCATACTGAAAACTGCATACTGAATAGTGCATTCCAAGACCGAAGTGCATTGTGGGTCAGTGACATTGTCTAAAGTAGAATTAATAATGTACACCTATTTCAAAAAAAGTTGTCATCGCCAAAGGCGATAGGCGATAAGCAAATTCCACTTCCACCCTTCTCCCTGATAAAAAAAATTGGTCTCTTATGAAAACACAGGTAGAGAAAAATGGCTGACCCAGTTTCGTACCATTTTCATGTGCAATATTTAAACAGTAGCAGATTATTTATTAGTGATTTGTGTTAAATAAATACTTATCATCATCGAAGCTGAACATCTGTTCCCTTTCTAAATATCAATATATTCATTCCTAGCTATATAAACCAAGATGCCCCGTCTGTATTTTTACAGGTTTCCATCTGTACTGTCCTGCGGAGGATATAATATGAGAAATGGAAGAAAGGTCAGTTCTGTGTATTTTATAGAAGTCATTCCTTCAACATGACTTCTTCAACTCTTCTCTGCATATTTGGGATCTCCCTCATCGCTGGGCTTACAGAAGGCAAGCTATATGATATACAGTTTTTAAAATATAATCATAATTATTAGGATATATTTAGGATAGAAACTCTCGGATGAGGACATAAAGCCGTAGGCCCTGTATCCCAGTTCTTATTAACCTGCTGTAAAATGGTGGACATACATAAACGAACCAGTTGAATTATTCGTCTAAGAGTAGGGGATTGTCTCCCGGTTCAACAGCCTATCCCAATTTTGGGGCATAATACTGATCTATTAATTATTCACTCATGATTGCAAGCCAATAATTCCTTTCCATCTTGGAATGACCTATCGCTTATCGCCTTCAGTGTCTTCTTGAATACTTTAAAGCAAGAAATCATATAAAACTTAAATATTAGTAAGTGTAATGTAATCATGAGCGCTGTCATTTAGCAATCCTCTCGCAATAAAGTTTACAGGGTGATGAATACAAGAAACTAGCCCAAGAAGTAAACTTCTTATTTCCAACAACTAAACCTTAACCTTAATTGTTTTAAATACATAAGCACCACTGCCTTCCAGATATTTCGTAAAACTGCCAAAATTCTACACAGGCTTTTTGTGCAAAGAGAGCCAAACGGTCACATGCATCCAATTCCACTTGCTAATGAGCCACACTAATGTGAATGTCTTTTCATACAGGATACTGTGGTGTAAAACCAAATGTAAGGATCGTTGGTGGTGCCGAGGCTCCTAGAGGTGCATGGCCGTGGCAAGTGATGCTTAGGACGAAGAATGGTGGTGTWGGACAGTTCTGTGGAGGATCATTGGTTCATCCTCAGTGGGTGGTCACTGCTGCTCACTGCGTCAGTAACCTTTCACCCAACCGTTTATTTGTCAGGTAATTGATATGTGTCCTTCTACATAAATATGTCATCATTTTCCCATTTCAGACCACGTTTTATATTTTATTCTCTAAAGAATAAGATTATTTGTTTTAGTTGTATCCATATTCTTGTGTATTTTCATACGCAACTGTTAAAAAAACAATGCTCTAGGGAATGACACGTGGTAAAGAGATCTATTCCATTTCTTTGTTTAACGGAATCTTGTTCTCGATGGAATGATAGTTGGTCTGTAATGGGAAAACTTTACACCAAGGCGAATAAGGTCTATAGAGGCTTTGCGCCATCATTTGATGGCAGCCATAACAAAGGCAGGAACAATTGAATCTGGTCTAATCTGATTTACACGACAAAGAATTCAGTTTCCCAGGGGAAAAAGACGTTATTGTCATGACTGCCATCACGTGATGGTGCAAAGCCTCTATTGATTCACACTTGCTATAGGCTGGGAGCTCATTATCGCAACGGCGTCACAGGAGTAGAGCAAGACGTGGATGTCGTACGAATCACTATTCACGAAGACTATCATAAGCCCATCACGTACTCCAATGATGTTGCTTTGTTAAAACTGAGTCGACCAGTGGTCTTGAACAAGAACGTTGGCCTAGTATGTCTTTCAAGTAACAGGATGTCTCAACTTTTTGATGGAAAGAAATGTTGGGTCACAGGTAAGTTTTTCACGGGTCAGGAACTTTTACCTCTTACCACTGCGACCAGGATTCACTTTTTTTCGAACTCGGGGTCCATCGAACGTTATCAGAGATGGTGTATGGTTTCCCCCTGTATTTTTTAGGGTCTTCACAAAAAAACAACTTTTAAATTCAATTTGAATTTAGAGGGGGAAAAAGGACTCTTTTGCCACATTTTTTCTTTTAAATTTGTAACTGGCAAAGACCACATGCTGCAAATACTAATGGACAGTAATTCTTAATTGTAATTTGGTCTATAAGAGCTGAGATGAAAAACACTCTGTGCAATTGTAGTACTTACTAACAAATGTATAATAATTAAAAGCCAAAACCAGTCTAATCCTTAAAGTTTCTTTATAAAATAATTGGGATACTACGCGCGCTATGATTGGTCGAAAACCATGTTTGATGAGAGTATCAAAACACGCTATCGTCATTTTTAATCTATCGCGCGCGCTCATTGGTCAGTTTGAATAAGACGGCACGTAGGGAGAATTTACTTAGACTTTGCTTTTTTTCGATCTTTT